TGTCTTTTCCTTTCTCGTTTTTTAGCCTAGCTTTTCTTTCTAATATCAATCCTTGACATTGTTGCTGAAACGATGTCTCAGATTCCTGAGGATCTGGAAGTGGGATATGTTCCGTTAAGCATGGGTGGAGCATATCCTGGTCTGTACCTTTTCACTATCCCTTCTAGATTTGTTCGGCCAGTAAAGAATATTTCAATTCCTTCCGTTGAAGGTCAGAATATTGAACTTATTGGACCCTTTGAACAGGTAAATATGGTTTTTCTTTTAATAATTTTTTTTACCCTGATACATTTGCTGCTGTCCAAGATTACATTTGCTGCTGTGATAAGAATTATTGTTTTACAAGAAGACAAGTAGTTATGCTTTGTTACTTGTTACTTTTCATTTTTTTTTTTCTTTTTGTGATTTTTAGATGGGGTACCAGATAAATATTGATTTGAGTCACTTTCATTTTTCTGCTTTGATCATCAGGTGCTTATTATGATCAGACCCTAAAAGTATGACTATCTGGTTTCTCTGTGTGATATTAGGTTTTCATGGAAATAAGATGTCCTGATGGTCGAGATGGTGGAAGGAAAGATGGTTTCCCAGCAACTCATGAAGAAATTCATCCAACTGGAATGCTCAGTGTGGTCGCTAATCTTACACCCTGGTCAGATCATAATCAGAGCCCACGAAATATGTATCAGTGCCAGGTTCTCTTCTGTTTTACCCTCTTGTCTGTCCTTGGTGATTGTTCAACAAAAGTTTTATCTTGTATAAATTTTTGGAATCCTACTGCTAAATTTTATTGAATATCGTTGCTGTTTGAACTGTAGATGGCAAAACAAACAATGGCCTTCTCTTTACAAGGACTTTGCAATCGTGCAGATCAAAAGTTGTACCATCTTCAGGTTGGTTCTCTTTGTAATCTTGTTATTCTGTAGCAGGGATCAAGGAAATAAATTATGAAAAGCTTTTCCTGGAACACTTTATACAACTTTTTAAGTACCAGTCCATTAAGATAGGGTTTTTTGGATTACTGATTAGCATTTGGGTGGATTTTTGTTCTCTAATTTTAAGTTCTTAGTAGTTAGTCCCCACCAAGTATTTTATTTGTTCATATTTCCAATTTATTGACACAACATGAAGCTGGAACTGTGTAGTATTTCTCTCGATGTTGTTTTGATGAATGTTTGTCCATGATGGATCCATTTTAGTCAGCATTTGTGCTAGGGAGGCATGTGATCTAATATTGCTGTAGAAGCTACAAATTCTCTTATTTAAATGGACTTCATTGTTATTGTCCCTTCATTTCATCATGTGTTTTTATCCTTTTTTGTGCTAACTGTTCATTGTTACGTTGAAAAATGGGGCGTTCACAGACTCCTCAGTCCCCTATTGTACGCACAAGTGCATATAAGAAGTACTGCATCGATGAATACCCAACAGGCACAAATGCGATCGTTGCTGTACTGTCATATACTGGGTGAGAAACTTAGATACATAAAGCCTATCTATTGTTGTTTTTCTTTTAGAATTTATTAATATTTCTCCCTTTCTTCTTATGATATATAGATATGATATGGAGGATGCCATGATTCTAAATAAGTCATCTGTCGAACGCGGAATGTTTCATGGGCATATATATCAGGTTTCTTCTTGCAATATCACATGATGCTACTTTAGTATAAAAATAGATAAATAAATAATATTGGATGAAACAACTTTGTTTTTTCCCCCCTTGTGATCTGCTTTTTATTAATTTTACACTGGTGCTTCTTGAGCTCAGTATACTAGAGCACTTGTTTTTTCTTTTGTATTGTTAGAGGTCTAATGCGATGCTTTTTAATACTGGTCACTTTTTTTTTGTAGAATTTTTTACAAAGTAGAGTTTATGTATTGTTGGATCTTTTTCTTTAGCTTTCCTGTATAGCTCATTTCGAGAAATATGAGTCCAGCCTCAAAGTCGTATTACAAATTATAAGAATATGCACTGAAATTCCACGCAGCTTGGTACTTTATTCATATTACTAAATTGGAGTCCAGACCAAAATTTCTAAATAATCATCCTGCAGGTCCCGGACAAAGTGAGGGAGATTTTGTTCTTGATGGAATCTGTTAGCAAATCTTGTATTCATTTGGCCAAATGCATTTTGAATACATGAATTTACTCTTGTTTCTTATTGTATGTTGAAAGTCATTTTTAACAGGGTTTTTTTCTTTTATTCTTTAATGTTTTTGTATACCAAATTAATGTCTTTACTAATGCATATGGTTTTCTTCTTCTTGGACCTAAATACCCACCCTTACCAAATGATGGGTTTTGGCAGACAGAAACAATAGACTTGTCTGATCAAAAGAAGAGGTCGGATAACACCCCAACATATTTTAAGAAAAGTAACGTCGATAAAAATCCTTTGATTGATTCAGATGGTCTTCCTCATGTTGGTCAGGTTAGCATTCATTTCTGGATTTAGTTTCTGCTCTATATTATCTTCTGCATTATGTTGAACCCCGATAGTTGGGATCACGGCAGTGCAACTGTTGTTGTGATATTTTGTCCAGATGCAAGCTTCTGGCCAGTCAACTGACTTAATGATTGGATTTTGTCCTAATGCAGCCACTGGCCAGTTGACGGACTGGAAGTACAAGTTTTTCTCTTGCTAAGATTTTAGGTCATTACTTTTGGGTTTTTTCGAAGTTCAAAACCCTAGAGTTGAAGCCTAAAATCTCATCCAATATACATGTAGTATATATAATACATATGTGCTTGCAATTATGTACTTACTTCATTCTTTGTTACTTTTCAGACAATAAAACCATATGAAGAATATTATAGCTTTACAAATGACACTCTTCATAAGCCCAGAGCCGTCAAACGGAAAGGTACAGAACCTGTTATAGTTGACTACGTTGCTATTGATGGGAAGAAACTCCTCCAGAAGGTAAGTGGACAACCTTTACTTTGGTTCCTCCATATGAAAAATATTATACCGTTCTTGTGCCAGCTTTCATTTCCTATATTACCCTTTATTTTACTTATTTTTATTTTCGTTTTGAGTAGGCAAACATACGCTTTCGACACACTAGAAACCCCATCATTGGTGATAAATTTAGCAGCCGGCATGGGCAAAAAGGTGTTTGCTCCCAGTTGTGGCCTGATATTGATATGCCATTTTCTGGGGTTACGGGAATGCGTCCAGATCTAATCATCAATCCCCATGCATTTCCTTCTAGAATGACAATAGCTATGCTGTTGGAATCAGTTGCTGCAAAGGTACTTGATCCTAAAGAATTTTATTTTTACTACATCTTTAATATGGGCATAGTTTTGCATTCTGATGCAATGAAAGGAAACTGTGAAAGAAGCTGGCATGTTTCTTTGTCGCAGGGCGGTAGCTTACACGGAAACTATGTTGACGCGACTCCATTTGCTAGTTCAAAGAATGCTAATGGAGAGACTGGACCAAAATCCAAAACCCTTGTTGACGAACTTGGTGAAATGTTAAAGGTTAAAGGGTTTAACTACCATGGTGTAGAAGTTCTGTACAGCGGGGTTTATGGCACAGAACTCACGTGCGAGATCTTTATTGGCCCTGTTTATTATCAACGACTACGACATATGGTTTCAGACAAATTTCAGGTTGAGATTCAACCAAATTCTAATTTTATAACTAGATGAGCTTTCAAGATTTTCTCAGTCCTATTTTTTTATCATTGGTTGCCTTACATGTGGTACTCCAATTTGGCGTGCAGGTTCGCTCCACTGGAACGGTAGACCAGGTCACTCGCCAGCCTATCAAAGGACGAAAGCGAGGTGGTGGCATACGTTTTGGTGAAATGGAGCGCGACTCCATGCTTGCGCATGGGGCAGCATATCTGTTGCACGACAGGCTTCATACCTGTTCTGATTATCACATTGCCGATGTATGTTCCATATGTGGAAGCATCCTGACGTCCACATTCATCCAACCAAAACGGGTTGGGCGTGCGGTTTCAGGAATTCCGTCTGTAAGAGCTCCCAAGAAGGTCATCTGCCATGCTTGTAAGACAAGTAAAGGGATGGAGACAGTTGCAATGCCCTATGTCTTCAGATATTTAGCTGCAGAGTTGGCGTCAATGAACATAAAAATGACTCTTCAGCTAAGTAATGCAGCGAAAGATTGATATCACGTTCTTAGGAATGAAGAACCAATGTAAGATGGTACGTCAGTTGATGAGATATAGGAGGCGGCGGCGGCGGCGGGACACTTCACACAAGCAGCATCGGGCATAGGAACGGCGTCGAAATAGCCGTCCATGTTGGGGGAGGGGAGAGGGTCCTTGTATGTATTTATAAATTTCCAAGAGGGTTTGGGCTCTCTTCGGTTTTCTTATAAAGATATTGTACCAGATAACGCGAAGGTCTATCTCCGAAATGCTGAACGTAACTCTTAGCTATGTTTTAGTCATTCAAAAATTAATCTTTTAAAGAATATTGTGGGGCTAAAATATTCCATCTCCACCAGTACATGCAAGGCTTTTCGAGGGGCTCGTGGGCTTTTTTAGCGAATTTGTTTTTTGTTTTATTTTTACAAACGATAGCGTTTTCGTGTGTTAAATGATTAGTTGTTAGGGAGGAGGATCAGTGAAGATCGAACCAGCACCAAGTTGCATGTGCACTTTTGAACGAACAGAATAACGAAGGTGTACATGTAAGGCCAAGGAAGAGTGGAATGATCATACAAAAAGTGATTTCCAATGCCAATATGGTTGGTAATGGCGAAGCGGATTATGGTGTCGTTATTGATACCACGGCAGAAGAGTTTGATGGGAGTAGCTCTGCTGAAGTAGTTTTGTGTGACATTGGCGAATGCAAGTTTCTCCTGTTAGAATTCCTTTCAGTCCTATTTCTCTCCAAAAGCTTCGTCAGGAAAGCACGAAACTTGTATGATTCCGGGGCTTTTCCCCTAGAACCACCACCAAGATTTCTACCGGCCTTCCGTGGCCGGGTTTCTGTTTGTTTTATGCACATGTAATTGGTTTGAAACAAAACATACTTCAAAATTTGTGATATTACAAATGTTGTCTTCATGATTATCATTTTCAAGAAACGAGTATGACAAGATAAGCACTACTTGATAATGCAAGGGAGCTTCCTGACTCATTTCACTACGAAAGAGGATATTTACCATCGAAAGACTTCACAAGGACACAGATAATCTCCCTTCTCATCAGATCAAACATGAGAAAACATGACTATAACTCGTCTTCCTACATCCCTTCGCGCATCGTCTTGCCTTGAGTGGCACTGGCATGTCGCTAATAATTTTTCCCCTGCAAAAACCAACCACCATGAGCTACCTAAATTTCTAGAAAATTCCATCATTTTCTCATCTCATCCGCAAAATTGTAATCATACTCCACGAGTTAAAATTCATCTAGTTACTAAACATTGGATATCTTACTTGGTCAATCCCTGGGTGTCCCATGGGTGCAGAGTTACTTTGTTGGAACCTCTCATCTCCTCCATGTGCAGGGTATCCCTGCCCATTACCAGATGCCGTTCCTTGGCCGTAAGCTGCAGAGCTCGGTCCTTGGCCGTAAGCTGCAGAGCTCGGTCCTTGGCCGTAAGCTGCAGAGCTAGGTCCTTGGCCGTAAGCTCCAGAGCTTGGTCCTTGCCCATAAGCTCCAGAGCTTGGTCCTTGCGCATAAGTTCCAGAGCTCGGTCCTTGCGCATAAGCTCCAGGTGTTCCCTGACCTTGAAATCCACTCAAACCTTGCCCATCAGTATCAGAATGTGGGGGACCATAATTCCTGTTATCTCCCCTAAATCCCTGCTGACCAGGAGGGGCATAATTCCTCTGATCTCCTTGTGGGAAGTTCCTTTGTTCTTGGGGACGATAACTTTGCTGCCCTCCTTGGTTGTAATTGCCCTGATATGAAGGTACTGGTTCTCCACCTGGCTGATATGCATCCTTCCCTCCCGCGGTATTCACTGGAATAGGACCTGTGTTCTCTCCTTGTCTTGGTGAGCTATAATTTTGTTGTGGATAATTTTGTGATGCTGCATAGTTCCCTCCACCTCGCATAGGACCCTGTTGATTATAGGAGGGGTTACCTTGCGGATTATATGATGGTCGTTGCTGATCATATCTTTGTTGGTCACGGTTCCTGTTATTGTCACGGAATCTTCCACCCTGCTGCCTTCCATACTGAACCGGGGGTGGTCTTGGTATGATTGTACCATTAATGTATTTGTCTCCTGATAAAACAATTTAAATTGAATTAAAATGGTAGATATGGATGGACTAGCTCATTTGTTTTACAAGTCTGCAATCCAAAACAACTTAAGTTGAATCAGCTGATAAATTGCTACCCACTATTCTCAAAGAAAACGATCATTGCATCCTACCTCCATATTCCTTGTTCTGTGGATCAATGTAAGAATCCGGCAACACAAAAACTACTCCAGGTAAACCTGTTAAAATTTAATGGAAAAGTTATTGTCGGGGTTCAAGACTATCATTTTCAATGGTAACACAGAATGCTATCCAAAACTTACCTTCGAACTTCTGTGACTCTTCCTCAGACATCTCAACCTGAAAGCCTGTATATGTTGTAGTGCTACACGCATATATCTTCTTTTTTGCCTCTTCCATACTGATTCACAAAAATACTTATGAGAAGAAAAATCCAATGCATACAAGACTGCTGCAAGCATAAAGCTACCCAAGAAACATGTCATAGAAACTAGTAGCGTTGACATAATCGCATCCACCAAATGGTTGATGAGCAACATATATAGCCAATAATATATGTATAGTAGACAAGTTAGAATTACATTCAATAGTCGATGAATATAGAAAAGAATCGATATCATATCATCAACCAAATTCGATAGTGGAACTATGAGGTAATACATTTCACAGGCAAGACATTGTAACATCTTATTAGTTCCTTTTAAGGGTATATTAGAGGCGATTACACCAACAAACCTTTCGGTTTTTGCATAATCCTGAAATTATTACCAGAGCAGGACTAATAGGTGCTTTATCTTTCTCAGACCCACCAAAGGCGAATACTTTCTACAGGGACTCGTTATGGTCCACCTCGAACACAGAAGTAAACAATCAAGCTACTGTTGGACTTGAATCGGGCGCCTTCTCCTGAGTGGAGGGAAGTGCTAATAAATACTATAGCGACCCTTACAATGTATTTCAAGCGTCCTAGCATTCGAAGGAGATTCTCGAATATATTGCTAGGTTCAAAATTACCATTTTCGTTCACAGTAGTGATTTTCCCTCTGATTTTCTCAGTAACCAAACATATCGTCGAATCAAAGCATACCTTCATAAGCATATACATAAAATGGAGAGAGAGGAAAGATGCGTGACCTGATGTTCAAGCCTTTAGCACAAGTCTCCTCATAATTCCTGATCATCTCCTCAGCCGGAGGCTTGTTGTCCCACGGGTAATCCATGACGATCAGCCAGTGGTTGTAGTCACACCCTTCGAACAGTACCGTATTCGGGCCAATCTCGTCCTTTGGGTCGTTTCCGTACGAAGTCGGTCGCGCGGAAGAGAACGGCGACGACCTGAACGTCCGAGACTGGAGGAGGAGCGTCCAGGACTGTGGCGGCAGCACAGGGAACTTTTCGGACGTGGAGGCAGGAAGCAGAGGAGAGGAAAAGGAGTGTGGAGCTGAGAGTGCGGAGGTTGCAGAGAGGGAGCGGTGGAGGGTGGAGAGACCGCTTAGGGTTCGGCGGAGGCGGAGAGAGCTCAGCGCCATCGCTAGGGTTTTGAAGAGTTCCGGAGTTTTCGGGGTTTTAGAGAAGAGAAGAGAGGGCTCACTACAATTAGTGAAGGGGAGACCCAAAGGGTTTTATGGTCATTGAGTGAAAACTGATCGAAGTGATTCTGATCATTTTGGTTATTCGGTAGGATTTGTTAATATTCTTATTAAACTGTTACGTAAAAGTTTATGTGACCGTCTTTTTAGTGATAATTTTGTCAAACCGGCTTCTCTACTTAACGAGAATATTAATAAATTTTTTACGAAATAACTAAAAAAACTTACTATAGACAAACTAAAAAAACAGTTTTATTAATTTTTATTTTCAATAATTAAAATGAGAGATTATCACTATCTTGAAGACAATTTTGGACAAAAAAAGTCAATTTATCGTTTGGTCTCCAATTTGAAATTTGATTGCTCAAGTAAAATACATAAGTATAGAAAAAAATCCAAGAGGATCCTCTCTGGATCCTTTTTGTGAGGATTTTGAAAATCCTCAAATCGTGTCCGTTCATCGTATATAGTACGGTCAGTTTTCGTTAAGTACTATTCATATTTAATTTAAAATAAAATTATTTAAAATTATTTCTGACCGCACGATGTATGATAAATAAACACGATTTGTGGATTCCCAAAATCCTCACAAAAAGGATCATCATTCGAAAAAAAATTGCGTAAAATAACTTTTGTAACTGAGCCAAATAAAAAAATTGAATATAAACAGGTAAATTATAAAAATAAAAATTTAAAATTTTTGAGTAGGGTTAAAAGGTGTTGATGCACAAAACCGGAGGTCTTTGAACAACGTAAATCCGGCCGTGAGTCTACAAGTAATGTAAATAACACAAGATGTACCGTGGTTCACCCCAAGGTTTGGGCTACGTCCACACTGGTTATGTATTTATCTGAGGGAGAGAGAGCTCTGAGAGTGAGAGCTTTAAGAGGGGGTGAGGAGCCTTAGGAATTGGCCTCTCCTAATTGTGAGGGTGAGGAGTCTTTTTATAGAATAAGGGCTTCTCACTTATTACATATTTGCCATTTCTTTTATCACATAATTACATTTAAGTCTCCCGAGTATTTATACGAGATCTAAATACGGAGGCTTTAAATATGGTATAAACAGTAGTCCCCCAAATCTTCAGTCAAGAGAGTCTTTTGGCTGGAGACTTGAAATTCAGTCTATGTGTGGGCCGAAGTAACTAGATGTTGTCTTGAATTGATGTTCAATATAAGGCGGTGCTCAATCTGAAATGATGCTCAACTAGAAGTAGCACATGCTGCAAGGCTGCTTGTCTCGTGACTTATGTTGCCTTGGTTGGCTCGGCTTGTGGCATTGAAGGTGAGGGAGTCCCTTTTATAGAATAAGGGCTCGCTCCTCAATACATGAATGATGGGCTAGAGTTGATGCTCGCGGCGAAGTGGTTACTCAGTAGGCGGCGATACTCTCTAATGGTGGTGAGGGATTCCCTTTTATAAAATAAGGGCTCGCTCCTCAATACATAAGTGATGGGCTAAGAGTGATGCTCGCGGCAAGGTGGTTGCTCAGCTGGTGGCGATGCTCTATAATGATGGTGAGGGAGTCATTTTTATAAAATAAGGGCTCGCTCCTCAGTACATGAATAATTTGTGCTCTCTAATGAAAGTGAGGGAGTTCCTTTTATAAAATAAGGGCTCACTCCTCAATACATAAATAATGGGCTAAGTCCCCCAAGTATTTTTCATAAGGCCCAGTTGAGGCCCAATATATGGTGTATAATGTAGTCCCCCAAGTCTTCGGTCAATAGAGTCTGTTGGCTGGAGACTTCAAATTGAATCCATGTATGGGCCGAAGTGGCGGTTGTTCGGAGGCAGTATTTGTATACCCTGCACTGAAGCTTTGTAGGTGAAGCTTTGCAAGTGAAGCTTTGAAGCTAGAGCTCTGTAAATGAAGCTTTCAAAGCTGGAGCTTTTGTAAATGAAGCTTTTGAAGCTAGAACTCTGTAAATGAAGCTTTTGAAGCTAGAGCTCTGTAAATGAAGCTTTTGAAGCTGATTGACATGAGTGATGCTCATGAATGTTTATGTTGATTGACATGAGTGATGCTCATGGATGTTGTCATGGGTGATGCTCATGAATATTAACATGAGTGATGCTCATGAATGTTGACATGAATGATGGTCATGAATGTTTATGTATGATTATCATGAGTGATGCTCATGAATGTTTATGTATGAATGACATAAGTAATGCTCATGTATAATTTGGAGTACTGGGCGTACTTTTGATCACCTGGTTGGTGACATAAATGAGAGTACGGGTTGTACATTTCATCACCTGGTTGGTGGCATGAATGGCTAGTTGCCAAATGATATTAGAGTACGGGTTGTACATTTCATCACCTGGTTGGTGGTAATAGCGGCAAGTTGCCGAATAATTTTGGAGTACTGGGCGTACTTTTGATCACCTGGTTGGTGATAATAGCGGCGGGTTGCCTAATAATTTTGGAATATTAGGCGTACTTTTAATCACCTGGTTGGTGATAATAGCGGCGGGTTACCAGATAATTTTGGGGCCATAGGGCCTGGCTCTTTTTGGCATATGGGTCTTCGCCCTCCACATAACATTTTAACCTTTTTTTTATTTTTTATTACCCTCTGATGAGGTTTATACAGATATCTCCGAAAGATACGAAAAATAAATTACATCATTCAAAAATAAGGAAAGTAAACCACATCACTCTGGTGGGGTGTTTATTCCTTGCTTTTGCAGTGTGGGTGTTTATTCCTTGCTTTTGCTTGTGATTTTCTACTGCACTCTCTCTGTTCTTTTGCTTTCGGCCTGGTTAGTGCTGTGACCTGTGGGATGACAACCAGCTTGGCATCATTATGTCTGAATTCCTTTATCTTGCTGGGTAAAGCTTCGGATGACAACTCAAAGCACCTGAGCACATACCTTGATCATCACAATCTTTGCTTTTCTCACTTTTCTCTTTTCTTTTTGCTTTTCTTGATCTCTTTCTACTGCATATCTCTCTCTGCTTTTCTCCAGAGCACATACCTTGATCATCACAATCTTTGCAGTCCTAGGACTTTCAAGAGTATACCAAGCCGGTGGTAAGGTGCAATTACTCTCAGCAGCAACAGACGAAACCGGAATCGAAACCCGACCCACCAACTCAGACCCGCCATAAAACAAGCCAGACTGCTCCTTATCCTGGTGACACACAGACACCACAAGCTCCTCGTTCACATCATGCACCCCGAAAACACACTGCACCTCATGCTCTTGAGTAGCTTCCCAAGCGGAAAGCTGATGACTGGTCATTTTTTGGTTCAGCAATAGAGAAGGGAATATAGGGTTGGTTTGGTAGAAGCTTCGAGAGCCCAGGAGCTGGTGCCTTTTTAGGTGCAGATTTGGCCCAGTTCTTCGATCCGGTCGATTCATCTGGTGAATCAATTCATCCATCCACCGTTTAAATTCCTAGCCCAAAACATTGATAAAAACTTTTTCTCTCGCCTCGTAGATCTGTTTTCAATTGGCAAAAAATAAAGGCCAGAGGGACAAGTTGCGATAAAATAAGCAGATCTAAGGATTGATGGCCTATTCTTCTATTCCCAGCGGCATGAGCATGATGATGGTGGGATGGATGAGAATTCTGAGACTTGGAGAGTTTGTGTTGGTCAAGTCCGTGTTGTATGTTCACCCGTCACTGAGTCTTGAGTTGGCACGCTATGATTGGTGCTGGTCCTGAGGTAAGACCCCCAAGCTCTGCCCCTCGAAGAATAGTATGGCCTTGGACAATGCCTCTTGGTAGTCATGGCTTGATGATGCAAAGCTTGGGAGCTCGATTAGGGCAATTAGGGTAAAAACGAAAACCAGAAAATAAGGGAAATAGACTCTCAAAATCCCGTCAGCTGATAGGCTCTCAGAAACCCATTTTCAGATAGCAACCACATCTTTAATTTCTACAAACCCAGTGAGAGAGGGGAATTGCAATCTTTCGGTTTTCAGCTTTTTCTGTTGTTGTTATTGGGTGGGAAAGTTGAAAGAGTGTTGCAGATTGATTTGGAGGACAGGGTTGCTGGGTTTTTGCAAATTCACGGTGGAGGTGAAAAAATGAAAGAGAACCAACACAACTTTTCGTATCGTTTCCCACAGACGGCGCCAAATGTTGATGCACAAAACCGGAGGTCTTGGAACAACGTAAATCCAGCCGTGAATCTGCAAGTAATGTAAATAACACAAGATGTATCGTGGTTCACCCCAAGGTTTGGGCTACGTCCACACTGGTTATGTATTTATCTGAGGGAGAGAGAGCTCTGAGAGTGAGAGCTTTGAGAGGGGGTGAGGAGCCTTAGGAATTGGCCTCTTCCAATTGTGAGGGTGAGGGGTCCCTTTATAGAATAAGGACTCCTCACTTATTACATATTTGCCCCTTCTTTTATTACATAATTACATTTAAGTCATCCGAGTATTTATACGAGGTCTAAATCGAGGCCCTAAATATGGTATAAACAAAAGGAATACCCATTTTCTAGAGCAAAACAAAGTAGAAAAATATGAAAAATGAGGGGTAAACTGTTACTACATTTTTTTAAAAGACAATTTCTATTTTGCCCTTGAATCGATGAATTTACGGTATCATTGAATATAGTTAAATTGCTTAATATCAATCAAATCAGCTTCAAATGATAGCAAATTTTTAAGCCAACACGTGCAAAATACAAATTTGGTGACGTGGAACACGTGCAGCCATAAAACTTTACACGGACCAACTTGCTTTAATACCTTTAAAAAAGTTAGGGTTGTACTATAAAACTAATTGGTTTAAACTTCATAATGAATGAGCTACGATTGAAACGAAGTGGACTTTTTAGCCAAACTAGTCTTTGAGATTAATATAACTCTTCACTTTAATCCTAGAGATTGAAAATCCATAAAAGTGGTATTTGAGTTTGCCTACAGTTAATCATTTTGATTATCCTGTGCAAAACTTTCATTAAATTAAAGGAAAACTAATGAAAAGAGCTTGAAAACTTTGAGTTTTAATGATAAGGACAAAATAAAGGGTAAAGCGAATAGTACCAAAATTGACTTTTTAGTATAAAAATGTGGTTTTTCGTTAAAGTGAACAGTATCGGGTGCTTTTCGTTAAAGTTCCCTTAAATTAATGATATTTTTGTCCCATCAATCCTTCTACTTACTTTCATTTAACGAAATTTTTTCATAAAAAATATAAATACTTGACGGTGAATGAACTTAGAAACCATTTGATTTTCAATACGAAGGATCAAAGAAAGAGTTTGTCAAATGGGGAATCATTTTAAAGCTAAAAAGGCAACAGAGTGTGATATTATTACCAGTTTCTGAAGTCAAAAGGACCGTTGGATCCTTGAAACTTTTCCCTAATTGTGGAATGGAGGGAGGGATACGATGATTCTCTAATCTCCACGTGAGTAGGTTTGTAAAAAGACATGCAGCTCCAGCACATCCACAGGGAGAGGGAGAGAAGGAGAGAGGGAGAGAGAAATAGCAGCAGCAATTCCAAAGCAAATGGAAGGTGGGTTTGTTTAGAAAATCACAACCCAGACAAAGAAAAAGGATATAAATAATGCAACAAACTTTAGATTCTATATGTAAAATATTGAAGAAGAAGATCCTCCTACTACTTTCAAATTCATTCAATTATCTCTCTCTCTCTCTCTCTCTCTCTCTCCAACAACATTAATATATTACACAACAACGTGGTCTTGGTATTTCCCCATTTCCTGGATCTTTCCTTCTTTCTGCTTTTTTCCACTTGGGCTGTTGGGCAGCTTCCATTTTCTCCAGAAAGTTGCCATCTTTCCTTAAAAACTAAGAAAGTCGAACCTTTGAGAGTAACAGTTGATGGTTTTCTGTTGACTGTTGATTGTTGGTCGAGGAGGAGGAGGAGGAGATGGAGGAGATGATACAGCAACAGAGGTCGTTGGCCGAGACGCCAACGTATTCAGTTGCTTCGGTTATTATTGTTATGGTCTTTGTCTGCCTTCTGGTAGAAAGGTCAATCTACAGATGTGGAAAGGTAAACAAAATATCTTGGTTTGTTCTGCTTAGTTGGGAAATGTTTCGTGAGAAAGCTATAATTTATTTCTAGTGCTGTAAATTTCTTTTGGTTGATATTTTTTTATTCGAGCGATATTTTAATTAATTTAATTTAAACTGAAGAGAAGATTTGAACTTTCGGTGTTTTAGCCAACTTGACGAAGTCTTTTGATTCACAGTTGTAGTGCTGTATCTAATTTATTATAGCTTCAAGAAAAGAAAACGGGTTTTATTTTAGGGTATTTTTGCTCACCATCTTATTTATGACTGTTAGATGAGTCTAAATTTCGAGATATATTTAGTAAATAGACATAAATTTTAAAATTTAAACTCATCTAATGATAAACACGCCACCACTTGAGGGTGTGGTGAGCAAAATTGTGCCCTTTATTTATTTTAATGTATTGGGGACCCATATAGCTATCTGGCATACATTTTTGTTAGTTTGGAGATATACATATGAGAAGAGTTTTGTAATGAATTGATGATGAAATGCTTTGAAAATATGCTGATTTGTAGATTCTGCAATGTCTGGGACCCAGCTAGCTACTTTGCTCAATTAATTTTGTTTTGGACACCAGATTTTTCATCAAGTGAAACCCACACACCTATCTGTTTAGTTTAGTTCACAAGTTTCTATCAAACTATTCGGTACGGTCCAGTGGTACACTACTAATCAACATTGATATCCCAACTTAACCACGCGTATACTCCAATAGGCAATAGGTTGGGGTTTTACCGTTTTATACAAAAGTTTTGATGAAATTAGTCGTAGAACCATTCAATATAATGGCGATTTAACTTTTTCGATGTGGGACCTGCTTCGACAGTTTCTATGCTTGGTTGCTGAGAAAAGGGCAGGAACGGAGAGGAAATAAGTTTGAATGTTGTTGTGATGGAGGGTTGTTTTATTGAGCTTAACAAGTTCTTTTTTTTTTAACAACGATATTATCTAAGCTAAAGGGGCGGGGATGGGCTTAGCCTCACAATGGGCTAGCAATAATGTGGTTCAAATTTGCCTTTGGCGAGAATCAAACCTAAGTCCTCTCACTTACAAGTGAAGAGGAACACCACTACACTGTAATACTAAGTGACGAGCTTAACAAGTTATTGAAGGCATTTTTGAATTTTGGATTTAAGATCTTTCAATTTTTAGTTTTAGTTTTCAACAGTGATTTGTGTTATTTTGTGTGCAGTGGTTGAAGAAGACAAGGAGGAAAGCGCTGTTTGCTTCTTTGGAGAAGATTAAGGAAGGTGAGTTGAGCCTCCGGTTTAAGTTCAAACAGTACAACTTCTCTACTGAGGAGTGCCTAGACTTCTGATATCCCTAATGTTTGTGACAATGCCGATTAAATGTTTACATTTCTCTTCTTGTTCTAATTGGCATTCGGTCTTCATGGCAGAATTGATGCTGCTTGGCCTAATATCGTTGTTGTTGTCACAATCGGCAAGGTGGATCTCTGGGATTTGTGTAAACTCTTCCCTTTTCACCAGTCAATTTTACATCTGTTCCGAGGAAGATGACAGCACCAAGAAGCATGTCATGCTTGAAAGTTCTCCTAACAAGACTGAGATTCCAAGAGGATTAACTAATTTTTCTCATCAATGTGGTGAGGTAAACTGGTTTCCGAAGTTAAATTTTGGAAGATTTGTGGATGCATTTTCCTTACAGATTCTAATGGTTAACTGCAGGGCCGGGAACCGTTTGTTTCTTATGAGGGACTGGAGCAGCTGCACCGGTTCCTGTTCGTTCTTGGGATCACCCATGTGTTGTACAGTTGTTTGGCTGTGGCTTTGGCTATGAGCAAGGTGCAATCTTCATCCCTAATTTTTACTGGAGGCCTACATTTGTGAAATTGCTGTTTTCAACTCTGCACTGCTGAATATATTTACTATTACAGAGCTTAGCAGCAACAACCTTAGAGTTGGCTCAATATATGCTTGCTTAGAACTTTTTATCTCTTATCCTGATTTTGCAAACTAAGTCCAGTACCGTGCAGACTAAAAGTTATAATTTCATTTCCTTGTGATGTCCACTGCATTCTGAGAAAAGTCTTCCGTTAGCTCCAAGTACTCTAAGAAAAGACATGGAGTACTTGGAGTTAACAGAAGACTTGGCGCAAAACTGAGCGCAACGGCGTTCTAGGATTCATATAGCCGACCCCACTTAGTGGGATAATGGTTTGTTGTTTTTGGCCATTGCATTCTGAATTTGTGGACCTGTTTACAGATTTACAGTTGGAGGAAATGGGAAAATCAAGCGATCTCATTGGCTGATGCGAATTTTCAAGGTACATGAGAAAACGAAAAATAAGATAGTTAAGGTGCCTCCTGGAATTTGTTCAGCACCCACTTAGCAATGAATCTGTAAAAAGCCTTGTTATGCTGGTGATATTTTTCTCAATTACTAAACGCAATAGCCTAATTGAGGTCAATTTCAAGGCCATTCGACACCATCTTATCGGAGAAATTGGTCAATAGTGTTGGATGACCTGATGCTTGTGGACCTGTAACCTTATCAGATTAAGCAAAATCAAATATTGTGATGTCTCATACTAGCTAACATTAATGATTACATATGTCAATTATTTTAAACAAGAAAGGGTTGTTTTCAATAACCATCCCCCAGCCTGTGGCACTTCACTTCTGTCTGTAGAGGGTTATAGAACAGCAGGCCTGGGTTTCTTTTTGTTAAGTCTAAACCAAAAAATTGGCTATTGAGATAACTGAGCCGAGAGAAGTTATCTTGGACACAAGAATGAACTTGTTATGATGAATTTTCTTGGTCGAAATCTAGAAGTTGGTACTTGAGAATATTTACCCAGGAGTTTGATATGGGAAAGAATATTAGTTCATTGTCAAGGGGTTCTGATAACAACCGAATAACACAAACTGGTGTCGAAATGTGCACTTGGCTGATGTGAGTTCAAAAACGAGCACCTGCACACACACACATACACACACACTAGCATCAGCTTCAGTATTGGAGTCTAGAAGATGAGTAAATTCAGAGGTTTTATTTTGCGGATTTTTTTGTTTCCTTTCAACTGATAACTTCTAGTGTATTTCCATGCCTTCTTCATTACCCTATTTTTGCAAGTCTTTGAAGTACATATATATTATCTTGGCTATATTAGCCTACTAATCCATTGGTGTTTTCTTTAGCAAAGAAAAACAAGGTCATGAGGCGGCAGTCTACCTTTATTTTCCATCACACATCTCATCCATGGAGCAGGAATCGGCTTCTAATTTGGATGGTAACTTATCATCCTTGTTACAAAAGAAAATATGTTAAACCTTGATTCCCCCTTTTCACAAAAACTAATGGTAACAAATTTTTGTAAGATTTGATAAAAACAAAGGGAGCTGAAACATACCCCTTTGAGTTCATTTGCCTAGTGTTTTCTGATCAAGACAACTTTTAAAACACATAGCAGTCAAAACTTCTTTACTGCAAGGACATTATGGATCAGGCCCTTATCTCCAATTATTTGCTAAATATCTTCGATATCCTGAATTTTCGAATGTCTTTAAAGTAATGATTTGCATCTTAATGCTGCAGCTCTGCTTTCTACGACAATTTAAGAGTTCTATAGAGAGATCAGATTACTTGGCTCTGCGTTCGGGCTTCATCAGTGTGAGTATATTATTATTGATTCCCTTAGTTGAACACGTTGGTTTCCTACTGCTTATATACAAGACATACTTTGGCACCTCATTTTTCTTTGTATTCATATTTGTAATCGGTTGTCTCTCGTCCTTTTATTTTGTTTGTAAAACAAAAAGTTAGTAAACATTCTGTTTTCTATATTGCACTAGAAACCTCGAACTATCTGAACGAATATGCAGCATGCTGCATAAAGTTGCAGATCTTAGAGTGTATTAATCACTCTAGGTGTTTTGAGATTAGTAACCAGTGTGTTTCTGTTGACTTTCTTGTTCACTGGAATAGCATCCCTTCTCATGGTTTTTTGATGTTGTTATTGTACTGATGCGCATGGCTTTTTGTTTATGTGTTCGTAATATGTAGAAGCACAAACTTCCGCTTTCTTATAATTTTCATAAATACATGGTCCGGAGTATGGAAGATGAATTTCAGGGCATTCTGGGTATTAGGTAAGCACTTTTCTGGATTACATACGTGACTTTATACCAAACTATGTTATATTCAGATATTTGGGAGTTTTGTATCGTATGTATGTACTTGAGTTGTCATGGTTTGCGCTTCTTGGCTGTCAATCTGTTATATTATATTCACATCTCCTGTTAATATAAGGCTGTATAGGACAGTACAGAAGTATGTGATATCGATAGAAGATGAAATGACCTTTTCCAATGCCCGTAAATATCACTTGGAACGTTTTTACCCTCTGGTTGGTGTCATTGGACGTTAAGCTTTGAATAGATGAGTTATTGGACTTACAGGATGAAGGTTGTTGTATCTGAATAATTTTTTGTTTGCAGCTGCCCACTTTGGGGATATTCCATAGTCTGCATATTCGTAAATGTTCATGGTAAAGTCTTGTATCTTCAGAATGCAAATAAATAGATTTGCGCACGTGTCTATGTTATTGGAACCTTATTTCCTGACATATTTCCGATTTCTGCAGGTTTGAATATTTACTTTTGGCTTTCTTTCATCCCTGCCATTGTAAGTACAAATGCTATCATTGTTCTAAAGTAAATCGTCTATAAAACAATCTTCCTTCTCATTTTTCTTTCGGATGGTTCATGTCAAAGCTTGTCATGCTGGTTGGAACGAAACTACAGCATGTCGTCTCTTCCTTAGCACTTGAAGTGGAACAAACAGGGCCAGCTAATGGGACTCAAGTAAAGCCACGTGATGATTTGTTTTGGTTTGGAAAACCTGTGATACTATTGCGGTTGATACAGTTCATCATATTTCAGGTTACGAATATTTGAAATTCATATCTTACGTCTTAATTGTAGTTACCTTGATCCTCACGAGTTTTCTTGGTGTAACTGCAGAATGCCTTTGAGATGGCGACATTTCTCTGGTCCTTGGTAAGACATTGGTCTCGTGTAACGATATATAAATTTGTTGGATGGAATTTCAGAGATCATGGGAATGTACTGAACTTTTCCTCTGTATATGCAGTGGGGGCTCAAGGAGAGATCATGCTTCATGAAAAACCACTTAATGATCGCTATTCGGTTGACCTGTGGGTATGTTATGTACTTTGACAACACAATAATTTCCGGTCATGCTGATGCATATGAACAGGATCCTAACGTTAATCAGTCCTAGAGGTTGACCATGGATATGTTAAGAGTACTGGTATTATGCATCTTACAATATTTTTCTTAATTTTTCGGTGATTGCAAATTTGCAGTGTTCTTGTTCAGTTCTGGTGTAGTTACGGCACAGTGCCTCTGAACGTAATTGTTACACAGGTTTGTTTAAACGCTTCACTGATTTATGTTAGAATTTTGTGCAATGCACAATACTGCAGACTTTCTGGGATTGTTACCTTAGCCTAACAAACTAATGGTTTCTTATTTACGGGAACTTATGGATGTCACAGAAGCTAAGAAATTGTTCTGACTCGCACTAATGAGTTGATTTTTATGGTTCATTCTCGCTATTTGGTGACTGCAGATGGGATCCCAGTGTAAGAAAGCTCTTGTTGCTGAGAGTGTTAGAGATTCGCTCCATAGTTGGTGCAAGCGAGTAAAGGAGAGGTCTAAACAATCACACGCAACAAGGTCAGTTTGTTCACTTGATACAACAGACGAGAGGGATGAGATAACCGTTGCATCTGGTACCTTGTCTCGGAACTCATCCTTGGACTCCCTACATCAAGTAACGGTAGCACCAATGGAACAGCAACCCGAGGCTGATCTACAGACTTCCGGACCACCTCAGCATGACTACTCATTTCGAGTGGAAGAGTATTTATCTGATGCGGTGAGAATGAGTGCATCACAGCCTCCGATAAACAGCGATGAAGATGATGGAGTGGAAGAACAAATGGATACTCTATTAGAGTTGTTTCAGAAAACATGAAGGGCTTGATTAGCAAGTTGAGGCTTCGTAATTGGAATCAACAGGAATCCGACTCTGACTCGTCATTCAACTCTAGTACAATCCTAGCATTTTGATTACGGATTAGTAAGCGAGGGCGTTGTTTAGGTTTAGAAAATGGCTGAACACTTGGAAGTTTCTGTTAAGCCATGTTAAAATTCATTCCACTGTCAGTTAAATATGGCTTTCTTCTACCTTCACAAGCACTTTTATTACAAGTTCTTCCCTCTTGAACCTTACTTTTACTAACAAACGTTGTCACATGTTCTTTTAATTATCTAAAAGCACTTCTAATTATCCTAAAAGCACTTCCAAACAGGATGAGAGAGAGAGAGAGAGAGAGAGAGAGAGAGAGAGAGAGAGAATTCATGTAAGGGTGGGTGAGTTTACAAGGTACAAAGATTTTTATACCACAAACGAGAGTACAAAAACATTAAGCAACTCATATAATTAGAAACAAGAGATCCTTATCCTGAAACAAACTAAGCCAGATTCAACCAGACAGCAGCCGTCAAAACATGACATCATCATGAGAAAGCTCAAAAGCACTTAACCAGTAAGCTCCTCTTCCTTGTGGGTCTCAAGTGTGACGTCAGACGCCGGATACGCCACGCAGGTGAGCACAAATCCACCGCCAATCTGATCATCATCCAGAAAGCTCTGGTCCGACTGATCCACACTCCCACTCACAACCTTGCCGGCGCACGAGGAGCAAGACCCTGCCCTGCAGGAGTAGGGCAGGTCAATTCCTGCCTCCTCCGCCGCGTCGAGAATGTATACGTCCTCAGGGCACTCAAACTCTTGTGGCCCTTCTGGTGTGATCAACTTCACCTTGTAGGCAGCCATCGCCACACGCCCTCCGCGGTTGGCCTTCAGCCCGTAAAGGGCCTGGCCGACGTTGGGGGACAACCGCAGGCTGGTCATCGGCTGGCCGCGGATGAAGGAGGTGCTGACCATGGTGCTTGAGACAGCTGCTGCTGCTGTGGCTGCCATGGTTTTTGTTTTGCTTTGGTTGCAAGGCTTTTGTGTTGTGGCTAAAGAGAGTGGGAGTGAAAAGCTTAGTAGTGTTGATAAATGGGATGGCTTGTGGAAATGGTGGCTACAAATGAGAGAGAGAGAGAGGGAGGGTGAAGTGGCATCAACCCTTATCTGCCACGTGGCAAAATATTGTGGATCACTCTATCTTTTTATCATCACCACAGGACCATGTAGGGGTGAGTGAATGTGGCGGGCACAATCCTCTGAACGAGGTTTTTGGTCTTATTTCAACTACAAATCGAATCCTCCCCGCGTCTAGCAATCCGAAGCAGACAGACTAAGAAGTTTGGACCACTTTTTTTAAATTCTACGGCCCCTATTAGTTCATTCTATTGGTCCATCTTACACAAATCAAGGGTCCGGACCTTTCTCTTGACCGATCAGAATTTCTCAGTTTGTCGGCTCTAGATTACAAGATACGAAGATGATCTAATCTCTAGTAGACCAAAATACAGATGCAGGTCAGGTCAATTGGCTAAATCAGTGTATGTCAGGCCGATTGGCTAAGATGGTGTTCTTGTCTCCTGACATTAAAGTTTGAATTTCTCTTTCAATAGATTGTAGTAATTTGAAATATCGTATTATTAAAAACAAAACTAGTTAAATTAAAATCACCAAGATTGACTTTAACTATAGCAGTACCTGTATAACACGAGGCTATCATTTTGAGGAGAGCGATAATATTAACACTAGGGAAAAGGAAATTGACGGAGATCAAACTAGCACCATCTGCAACAATAGGCTATCATAAACTAGGATTACTTGTTAAACAAGATTTTAACAAAAAGATCCAAAGATTTATGTAATTTTTGTACGAAGATTTATGTCAGCATATAACAGTTTTTCGCACAACATGGATGTCGAAGAAACAGAGCTCGTTTACGGCATGAAAAGGCCCATTTGCTATAGGCTCCATAAAAGGCTCTTTTATCTAAAATGATCTCTAAGATTTACATAACTCGTTATTTTGATTTCTGAGATTTGAAATCGATAAAATTGATCTATCAGTTTGTCCACCATCAATCATTTTGATCATTCTGTAAGAAATATTCATTAAACAAAAATAAAATGATAAAAATACTTTTTTTTGTCAAATCATTTTAACCTATTGTTTATTAAATGGAGGGTAGTTTATCATTTTAATCTTTATTTAACATAACTATTCACGGAAGGACAAAAATGATTATTGATGAATAATCTCAAAAACCAAAGTAAGAAATAATGAAAATTTCAAGAACTATTTTGGCTAAAAAGCTCACAACGAAATATCACGAGATCACCCGAATTGTCATTCATATCGGGTTAAAAGAAATACTCGAAACAAATCATGCAAAGATGTAGAGACACAAAGTGAGGTTTCAGACAATGATACTTATATATGCAAGGTACAGATGGAATCAAAATTCACAAAAGTCGCTACATAACTCGGAATCAAAGGTTCGTTTCGGGAAGCCCTTCCCTTCCTTTCCATCCATCCCAAAGACATACAGAGAGAGAGAGAGTAATAGGGCACCTATTTGTAAAAGGACGAAAAATAATAAAATCAACAGGAGTTCGACGTCCGCTAACTGTAGATTATAAAACAATCTCTGCAATCTAAAATTTAGGCTTTCACTGATAGCTGGGGAAACAAAAAACCTCTCAGGGCTTTCCCAAGTCCAGAGAAAGAATACATTCCCTATCCTCAACCCTGCGATTTTGGTCCCTAGTGGTTGCCGGATCCCCATCCCTGACCACGTACCTCAACAACGGCCAATCTACTCGGGAAAGCTCCATCAGGTCCATTTCCTCGCGGAGATGCTCTAGTCGCACTTGATATTTCTGTAGATCCTCCTCACAAACAAATTGGAACCCAAATATCCAACAGCTCCTGCACATTTGAAAAGGTAACAAACAAATAATCAGAGGGTGGGAGAACATGGCACTCAAGAAGATACGATTCTTCTCGGTAACTCTGCAACTAAAGCTCAGGTCAAGCATAGTTCAATCAAGAAATGATAGCACCGTAAGAAAGCCTCTAAATACATAGGTCAACAATTGGTCGCCCACATTCCTGCTGCCATACTGGTTGGGTGGGAACAAGAGTCGAGCAAAAAACAATATTGAAATCTCAAAATCCATGAAGTGGAACTGAAATTCAAGTTAGTGCATAAGATAAAACTCACCGCAGAGGATCCCTAAGCCAAGGCAGAACATCAAAGTGTACCCAAAATAGAAGCTGGTCTGGAAGAAACCCGACATCTTAGTCTTTGCATAGTAGTAATATATTGAATACAAGTACACGTAGACAGCTGTTGATGCAGCAGAAAAGAAAGAAGTCCATTGCCAGTGGTAGTTCTCAGCATTAAGCAAGAAGTACGTCCCCACAATTGTCACGCATACGGTAACAATGATGAGAATCAGAAAAACAAGCAGCATAAAGCCATAGACATAGTACACCTGTTGAGACACAAAGACCAAGAAATACGTTACTATTCATGTTAATCACTGTGTCAACACTCAACAAGTATCATGCACTTTTGCCACAATAGACTTAACAGCTTTCTAAACAATACAGAATATTCTCAAATGTGGTGAAACAGAACTTCACCGAGTCCTTGACAAACAAACGATTCCCAAGACAGACCAGGAATCATTGCTTTCAAGATGTAAAATTAAGCAAATGAACCTCATGACTTCAACAATTTTCACAAGCTTGGTGTCATAATGACTCCCAACTATTGTAACTTTGTCTAACTCTAAGGAATGCCATACACAGCCTATGTTTGCAATCTTATTTTGTACTCAGATCTACGTAATCAGCAAGTCTATCCTATGAACAGTACATAGTTATCGAAATTTCACCTTGTAATTCCAGAAGGATGTGAAGACAAAATACATTTCAATAAATATGCTTCCAAAGGGCAGAAGTCCTCCCATCATTGAGACTACAGATGGGGTTAAATACCATTTCTTCTCAGGAATAGGACGAGGAATGGTTTTCACACGGCAAGGATTGTTAGGAGCACCACTCCAGTTTCTTCCAACAACTGTACCAAGAAGTGCTAGAGGAAAAGAGATGAATGCCCAAATGACAAAAACAACCACCATTGTGCCAAAAGGAATAGCTGCTAGTGACCCGTAGAAAATAGCAATTGTGTTCAAGACAAACCCAATCCCAAAGCACATAAATGGAAATAGGGATGCTGTGAGTATCATTGACTTTATCCAGTTTTTACCTGATAAAGGTTGTAGTGATTTGTTAGAAAGCTTAAACAGAATGACTAGTACATCTATCATATCAATCAAAGAAATACGTACCCCCATGCCGTGAATACATCCCACCACTTACATAACCAGAAATGAAAGATGTAAGGGCATAACACACTATGAAAGTTGTTACAATTGCACCTCTCCTGAGACACCAGATAAATACAATGATGTAAGACATAACACATGATTAAAAATCTAGCAATTCCTCCCAGGACCACAAATAGTAATGAACTAATTAAGATGGAAAAATGAGATAACAAGATAAGACAGGGAACCATTAATGTGCAGCGATGCATAGTTGGACTAACACTAATTACATAAACAAAAAGTAATAAACACACACACATATATATATGCACAACTTACATGTTTATGATTCAAATATAAACGTTTTGAAAATAGTAAAATAATTAAACCTAGGAAAGTCGAAAACAATAACCCAAAATAGCATCCCAAGTACTTTTGAGCAAGTAGTCAACATACCCAACATACAACATCCCAACAATTGCCAGTAAGATGACGAGGAGAACAAGCAATGCTAGCTGAGCGCCTGTGCCAACAAGAGCTGATAGAATAACCAAATTCCGAGAAGGCCGAAAAACATCCCCATGCACAAGTTTCCAGCCAGACTCTTCACTGACATCTCTTTCCTACAATAGGCACATTTTCAAAAGGGTCATCACACAAAGATTTTATCTATTATATCTCTATCTATGTTGCCGCATAAGAAAAAAAAACAAAAACATCTAAAAGAAGGATATCATCTGATTATAAAGAAAATCATTAGACCATACCAGAGTCTCCAGATCGTCGTCTTCCCGAGCATACTTTGCATAGTCGTTCCTAAGAGTCCGCATCAATATCATTGAGACCAAACCAGTAAGGAATATAACCATCATGAATGAATTGAAAATCGAGAACCAATGTATCTGCATATTGCAAAATGAACATACAGCTCATTAAAAATTAAAATACACATACATA